GCCTACTCTCCCACCCCTCACCACCACTGCTCCCCCGCCCCCACTCTTTCTCCTGCCTTTGCCCACCTGCCCCCACCCCCCTGAAATCCACTCGGGCCCCAGATCTCTGGCCACGGGCTTCTTCCCGAGAGCATGACCTTTGACTTTCTGAAACGACAGCAATTAGTACCACGTCCGCTAGCAGAAGGTCAGCAGGAGCCTGCAGTGGTGGTGGCCGCCCGCTGTCCATATTGATCGTGAAGCTTCCCAGCATCTCCTGGGGCGCTGTGGTGGACGACACCGAGTGCATGTAGATCACGCCACCATCTGCGGCGAAACAGCCGCCTGAGCTTCCTCTGTGGCCGTCGGTAATAAGGATCAGGGCCCCTGAAGACGTTTAAACATAGTGCTGTCGTGGAGCCTTGGCAGTCTGCTGTGAAAACGTTACCGTCTTCCTGGGTGCTGTGTCTGGTGGATCTGTACTGCCCCCTTGTGTTCCTCGGAGGTATTCATAGTGGCTGGCTCTCAGGTCTCAGTCTAGCCTTGTGAGCAGAGTGGTCCTTCAGGAGACAACTGTTAGGTGGCCAGCTTCTCGGTGGTTTAAACTCACAGAATTGTCTAGAAACATGGCAGGAACCCACCCCCCCGCATCTTCTAGCATTGTCATGCTCAGTTCCTCTCTTGTAGAACCTGGACTCCAAATGTGAGCGCATGCTGTGGCTGCTAGACTCTCTGTGTATGTGTGTGTGTGTGTGTGTGTGTGTGTGTGTGTGGGAGTGAATCCCAGCTCATGCTCGCTGTCTCCCCCTGCAGGACTCCTACACGATGCCCCTGGCCTCCATCCAGTGCTGGCACGTCCACTGTGAAGAGTGCTGGCTGCGGACGCTGGTAAGCCCCCCCCAATCAGCCCTCAAGCCCAGAAATAAAACATCAGGCATTTACGGATTTTCAGGACAGTGTAAGTCCTCTTCCTTACCCCCGCCAGGACACACGCTCCGTCTCCAGCCCATGGGACCGCCTCAGATTAGCCGCTAACACATAGCGCCACCACTGCGCGCAGCAGTAATTAATAAGCAGGCTGTGATGTGCTGGCCAGGCCTCTGGGGAGCGCCGTGCCCTGCCCTGCCCGCGGTGGCTGAGGCAGCAGCTCATTACTAATGTGGCCATTAAAACGTTGCCTGAAGACAGCAATAAAAGGCGCAGCGGGCGGCGTGCGCCATCAAAGCCGGCGCTAACCTCGTTAGCTAATGCGGTGGCGGCGGCCTGCCCATGTGAGGGCTCGCCCGCACCCGTGCTGTGCTCATTAAAGCCTGCAAGGGGTGGGGCTTCCACAGTCCTTCTGGTGAAGCAGCTGGGAAGCCCCGCTTTCCACCAGGGTAGGGGGTTGGAGCGCCCCCCCCAGTGATCCTGTGATTAGACTCGCTCACTCGGGGTTGCTTTGGCTACTCAGGTCCTTCTTGGACCCGGAACTATACACCAGGCCGTCTGGGTTACCGGTCCAGCCGCCAGTCCTACGATCCCTCGGCCAGTGTTGTACACGCTCCTGCTCACTTGTCTGGCTGTTTGGGCTTAAAAGCTCAAGCTAGAGGTGTGGGCACCACCCCCCCCCCCCCCCCACTGGATGCACAGGGGTACCTCACCCCAGCTGTGACCCCCCAATAGAAAAATGCTTTAGGACCCAGTGGAAGTCAGCTGCCGTGTGATTGGAAGCTGTTGCCTCCTGGTTGGAGGCCCCTGTGACTCATCGCTGCCCCCTCACCCCCTCATTCACCCATATCCCTGCTCCTCACCCCCCATTCCCTGTGTCTCACCCTGTCCCTTGTCCCTTTCCCTCCCCTGCCTCTCCCTGTCCCTCCCCCCAAACCTTGTCTCTCATCCCCTGTCCTCACCCCCTGGCCCCCCCCCTTCCCTAACCCCATCCCTGTCCACTGTCCCTCCCCCACCCTGTCCACTGTCCCCTGTCCCTCCCCCATCACTGTCCCCCGTCCCCCAACCCTGTCCCCTGTCTGTCATTCCCTTTCACTCACCCCTGTCCCTCCCATGCCTCAGGCCACTGTTTCAGTTTGCCCTCTGTCTCTCTTTCTCCTGCAGGGGAACAAGAAGCTCTGTCCACAGTGCAACACCATCACATCGCCCGGGGATCTGCGACGTGTTTACTTGTGATCATCTGTCCACGGCTCCATAATCCCCCCCACGCCCCACGTCTTTGTCAGTGTGTTTTTGTGAGGATGGGGGTGGTTGTCAGCATGGATTTTATAGAAAGTCCCTCCTGTTTTAATGAGACAGGACTCGTGTTTGAGGGACTCTCAGAAGAGGGAGAGCGAGAATTCCGGCTGGAAAGGCAACCAAAACAGACTGCTGACATAGCAGCCCTCTCCCAGCACCTCTGCAGCCCCGCTCTACGCACCCCTACCCCCCAACACCGCCCCCCCCCCCCCCCAACCCCCCCCCCCCCCCCCGCCAACCACCACCACCGACCACGTCCGCTGCTGCCACCTAGTGGTGGTGTGATTTGAAGTATCAGGTACTATTGTGAGTCCGGTCCCTTGCTCTGCCAAACCAGTGGTGGTCCCGCACCCAGCACCTGCGTAACCCCACACCGCCCCCCACCCCCCATTACTGTCTTTGTGGAGTTCTTCACCCTGGTCGGACATGATGACTGCGCTAAGGGCCAGCGTGGGGCCCCACGTGGGAGAAGGCGGGCCCCGCCCTTAGGTCCTTTTCCCCCCCCCCCCCCCCGGCCACATGTTCACCTCTCTGTTTCCTTTTCGTGGTGTTATAGTGCTGTCGTTAAGCGACCGGGTTCAGGAGAAAAGCCCCCCCACTGAAACAGCAGAGCAGGCACATGTAATATAGTCTATGTATGTTTACAGTGTTGTGTATAAATGACATGGAAGCTGGACACGCCCACTCACCTCACGCGCACACATATATATACGCGCCGGCCTGACCGCCAGCACTTCTGCCCGGGAGCGCCCACTTTTCTCAGGCGTTCGGCCTCTCAAGGCAGAAGCTGCGTTTAATTGTACAGGAAAAGACTGAGGTAATGAAGCTGGGAATAGGAGTTAGATTGTACATTTTGGTTTGGATATACAGTAATTGTAGTTGCGTTCCTCCTCCTCGATGCCGCTCTTGAGAGAGGCTTTCAGACGCTGTTCCTTCCCTGAGCTCTGGAGGGCGCCCATGGGGCTCTGCGGATGCTGGTAGAATGAACTACGCTGGACACCTTCTCACTTAAGTTATATAATATTGTGCTAATAATGGTAGTCGCTTGTGGTTTTAAAATGTCTCATCTTTGTCATTTGCTGTTGTCACTTCAGCCCTTTTCTAAAAAAAAAAAAAAAACCCAACAATTTTAGTCTGAATGTATAACAATAAAATAGTTACAGAACAGTTATTTTTATCGTCATTTGAAATGGTGAACAGAGCCTTTCCAAATGTAGTTCATTCTGTCAGGTTGCAGCACGCTCACAGCGCAGGCCGTGCTGCCGGACACTCGCCCCTTCTCTGCTCCTGCTCCGAGGAGCAGGGCGCCTCCCTGTGGCCGCCCCCGGACCTGTGCCCTGCTGCCGCTTAGCGGGATGCTGTGCGTTGTGTTTGTAAAAACTATGTATCCTGTGATGTTTGGTTCAGTGTAAGCAAAAACTAAAAAAAATTAAAGGCTGGCGTCCACACGCACGGAGGGCCCCTCTTCCTGTGTGATGGAGTGTGCGTGTGGCCCTTGTGATTAACGCTGTATACTAGGGGGCACTTTTTTGCGGCTTGCCCCCTTGTGTTTCGCGGAAGAACGCCTTCACGGTTTGTGTGTGACAACATTGGCCAATAAACTCTGCCGCAAAACTGTCCCCTGATTGTGACCTGCGTGCAAACACCCTTTGCTGTCAGGGGGAATGCTTCAGCCAGGTAAGGCCTCCTCAGGAAAGTGGCTGAGGAGTAAACCAAGCTTTTGCTGTATTACTGATCACATGATCACTTTACCATGCCTTACTGCTCAGAACCGTGTCCTGATTGGCAAGGCTATAGGTTTGGTTGTGACCTTGGTTGGGTCCCCAAAACACACAGTACTCCTGCAACATCAGTAGTAACTTCTGCATTGTCCATTACCCAGATCTCCGCCTTGCTGATCGCTGCCTACTTTCTAAACCATTCTTGGCTGTTGGTGAGCCACCTGACATCTACTGACCATCTCAGTCTCCCTAAGCAGAAACCCCCCCCCCCCATTCTCAGGCCCAACCTGCAGTGCACTATGGGTATAAAACAAGTCGGAGTCAGGGGGCAGAGCACCAGAGCAAATGGGTGTCTCTCTGCTGAGATGAAACGTCCAAAGGTGGTCCCCCTTCAGCCTCCCTGACCGGGGGCTTTGGGCAGGTCACAGCTGATCCGTGGAGGGTGCATTACGAACTGTGGGGGGGCTGGGATCTAGGGGTGCGGCCCTAAGGACCCGCGCTTCCCAGGCGCAGCCGATCTATAAAAATTGCTTTTGGAGGTCAAAGCTGCATCTGGTGGGGAGGCCATTATTGTCAGTTTACAAACATCTCCCCAGGCCGATCAATAGGACAGGCCTTGCCTCCGTGTTGGCTAATTCCCCGATTGTGCTGCCTGTCTGTTCCGACGGTAATTTACACCTCAGTGTGGGAGGGGGCACCGCGCCACTGCTATCGCAGTCTTCGTCTTCAGCTCTCAGTGTATCGTCCGCGTACAACTCGCCCAATTAGCAGCTGCCGTCCTTCATGGCCGTTTATGGGATTGATCCAGTCAGGGCAGAAGGATCCGAGAGGAGCTCCTGGAGTGGCCACCGGACAGCGGACGTGTGACACCTGAGCTGACAGCCCAGTGTCCCTCGAGGGAGTTGGGTAACGGGAGGGGGGGGGGGAGGTCACACACTCGGCAGACACATACACACAACTCAGGGTGGGGGTGGGACTCTGAAACTAGTGCTGAGGTTATTCAAGGAATGCAAATGCACAACAGACTGTCAAGGGGCCCATTTATCATAGAAATTGTTGTCATTTACAAATCCATATCCAATTAAAGTGCCCAAATGGAGAGAATGGGGGCTGGTGACTGGCGCCCCCACAAGGCGAATCGGTGCCTGGCCTGGGCAGGCTGTGCGGAAGAACTTGGCAGCTTGTAATGACCCAAGAGCTCAAGGATGCATCACATGACCACAACCTAGGAGCTCAAGGATGCATCACATGACCACAGTCTGGGAGGCGGAACTTGGCCACGTGTCACATGACCACAGCCCGGGAGCCAGAGCTCAGGCATACATCACATGACCACAGCCTGGGAGCCAGAGCTCAAGCATGCATCACATGACCACAGCCTGGTAGCCAGAGCTCAAGCATGCATCACATGACCACAGCCTGGTAGCCAGAACTCGGCCACGTGTCACATGACCACAGCCCGGGAGCCAGAACTTGGCCATGTGTCACATGACCACAGCCTGGGAGCCAGAACTCGGCAATGTGTCACATGACCACAGCCTGGAGCCAGAGCTCAGCAACGTGTCACATGACCACAGACTGGAGCCAAAGCCATCCAAAATGGCCACATAATTCCACATTTTCAGGTACTATGTACCACAAACCAGGTAAAATCAGCGGAAATTTGCGATGCAGTCAGTATATGGTCAAGTTAATGGTTAATGTGTGCTATGGATACTGTCATGATTTATTTGTGGTTCATACCAAGAGTCGCTGACTGTAGATCTAAAATATTACATACTGTGAAAATTCAAGATTACAAAAGTCTAAACAAGCTTTGATATGACAGGCCAGAGAAAAGCCAGTGCCATAGCCAGTATGGTGATTGCTATAAGCACATGCGCTGGGAGCAGCACGAGACACAGAGGGTTTTTGCCATGCGGTAATTACATTGAAGTAAGAAGTGCAGATGAAACTACATTTAATATCTCAGGCATTTGTCAATATCACGAGAGTGCCTTTGTCTGCTAATCCTGTAATTACACTCTTACCAGATTGCTTTCCTGTCTCTGGCTGCCTAAGACACTGGAGAATACCACTGTGGATTTACAGCATGTTTCTTACAAACGAGACCAAAGCCCATGTATGTATTCATGAGCAGGATTACAGCTACTCCATGGTTAAGCGGGGAGGTGGGGGCTCACCCATGGCACTGTTTAAGAGGGCACACTGTACTCTCTGAGGATGTCTGGTTCCTCTCTTAAAGGTCCACACTGTACTGTCTGAGCATGTCTGGTTCCTCTCTTAAAGGTCCACACTGTACTGACTGAGCATGTCTGGTTCCTCTCTTAAAGGTCCACGCTGTACTGTCTGTGCATGTCTGGTTCCTCTCTTAAAGGTCCACACTGTACTCTCAGAGCATGTTTGATTCCTCTCTTAAAGGTCCACACTGTACTCTCAGAGCATGTCTGGTTCATCTCTTAAAGGTCCACACTGTACTCTCTGAGCATGTCTGGTTCATCTCTTAAAGGTCCACACTGTACTGTCTGAGCATGTCTGGTTCATCTCTTAAAGGTCCACACTGTACTGTCTGAGCATGTCCGATTCCTCTCTTAAAGGTCCAAACTGTATCTTTGAGCATGTCCGGATCCTCTTTTAAAGGTCCACACTGTACTGTCTGAGGATGTATGGTTCCTCTCTTAAAGGTCCACACTGTACTGTCTGAGCATGTCCGGTTCCACTTTTAAAGGTACACACTATTCTCTGAGCATGTCCGATTCATCTCTTAAAGGTCCACACTGTACTGTCTGAGCATGTCCGGTTCATCTCTTAAAGGTCCACACTGTACTGTCTGAGCATGTCCGGTTCATCTCTTAAAGGTCCACGCTGTACTCTCTGAGCATGTCCGGTTCATCTCTTAAAGGTACACGCTGTACTCTCTGAGCATGTCCGGTTCATCTCTTAAAGGTACACGCTGTACTCTCTGAGCATGTCCGGTTCATCTCTTAAAG